AAACACTTCTGTTTTTGCTCTTCTGTGAGTTGTTTCAGTACCCATCTCCCATTAACTTTTTTTTATTGTGAATTATTTGATAGTCTACATGGGAGAACACCAGCCCCACATTCATCCTATCCTACTTTGCTTCACTGCAATGATTACAATCCCCTCCATGCATCATCAAACAGCCAAAGGGTACACCCCACAAGCCTGCCCCCAGCCATCAACACACAGACCCTCTCTCTCCCAGAGTCCCTAGCCGCTCCATCTCTCCATGTCATCATCTCTGCCTCCATTTTTGGCGCTGTTGCTTCTCTGGACAGGGTCCCGCACTCTGCTCTTCTTCCTTGATGGTCCCAGGGACCTCTGCTCCTGGACTGCAAAATCAACCACTCCTTTCCTTTTGTTACAAAATGTCTACCTTTACATATGCAACACTCAGTTAGATCTGTAGCAATCATTCACTATTGAACCACAAGAATCTTATCCCCATCTCCTTTCATCATCCCTGTCCAGACAGGTTGGAAACCACTCAGTGGAGATTCTACTTTCCCCCACACCCTCTGGAACTAGGTTCCCTCTTGAAAGTTTGTAAGCCAGTCACTTTTGCCTTTGTAGCCCTCCCCCCCCCCATTTTGGGTAGCCAATGTTTAAGTTACCCATCCTTGTCGACCCTGTGTACCGAGGGGGTGGAATGATCCTCACTGTAAAAATTTGTTCCCTTCTTTGAGCTACTATATCCATAAGTATAGGTCAAGTTCATCAAATTGTAGTGGATTACTCTTTTTTTCCCCTCGTCTTTCTTCCTTTGATCGAGTTCTGGTCATCCAGCCATTGAAGCCAGGTCAGATGGGTACTATTTTGCAAGTGTGGGTGTTCTTGTGCATCTCCCCTCACTTCATATCAGTCAGATGCTTCTCTCTCTACTCTAGTACTCTGATCATGTCACTATCCCTGGGCCCAGGAGTCCCCAGGTCTTGCCATACTGCTGGCCAACCAGGTCTCAGCCCAGATTGACAGGAGTCTCTTGAACATGGTCAGACTAACTCACAAATTGCTGTTTTCCCCTGACTTCCCTTTCTCTCTGACCAGCGTGGTCAGCAGCAAAACCACAGGCCTGCTCCTGTATTCCCCTTGAGTTTTGGGGTTTGCCCTGTGGGTACCTGATGACATAAACGTTTTTGTTTCTTTTTATAACACTTTTTATTTCCATCTTTATTAAATAGATGTTGCTATCTTTTACATTAGCAAATGTGTCATTGTAATTTAATCTTTAAAGTCATCTCACCTACAAGATACCTTAAATTTCCTATTGTCTATAGGATATAACTTAGTGCTCTATACAGTTCCCTGCATTAAGCTATATTGACATCAATAGCTAGACATATACATTGCACCTATCTACACATTTAGTATTCAAGTATGTGTTTCCATTCAAATAAAATTCATATTTCACATTTGTTATTTGTCAGTTATTACTGTTGTTGTTAAGTGCCATCCATTCAGTACGGACTCATGGCGACTTTGCATAGAGCTTCTGAGGAGCTGTTGGGGAGCTGGAACCACCAACCTTGAAGTTCAAACCAGTCTTGTCGTCCAGTGCTTTATCCCACAGCGCCACACCAGGACTCCTATCAGCTATTAGTGGTTCTTTATTTCATCTTTTTGATAAATACTATGTTTTATCTTTAGAGCAAAGTTTTCCCCCAAAGATAAGCATTGACCTACAAATAGCAAGGTGAGTGGTTCAAGCCCACCAGCCACTCCTTGGAAACCCTATACAAAATTGCCATGAATTGGAACTAACTCCATGGCACTCAATAATAAGGAAGAACAACCACCTCAAAATAAGATAAAATGAATCTCTTTGAGTAATAGATCTACAAGCCAAATGCATTGACAGATTGATCAAGTACACCTTTTGTATCATGCACGAATTACGTGCTCTGTACATGTTGGAGAAATGTCAGAGTACATTTAACAAGTATAGCTTTCTGAATTAGCTATTAATAGTTGAAAAATAGTTCTCTTAAATCATCAATTGATTAATACGAATATTTCAACACCTTTGCAAGCTCATTATTTAGAACACAAGCATCTTGAATTATTACAATGCTTTACAAATAAAATGTTAATATCATTTATGTTTCATATATGAAGAAATGGAAGCCCACCCAGAAGGGTGAAGTTTTCCTGACCAGAGTTCGCATAAACTTTTTTTTAAAATGTTTATTGTGAGTTATGTGATAGTTTACATGGGAGAACATTAGCTTTACATTCATCATATATCGTTTCATTGCCATGGTTACAATCTCCTCCATGCATTATCAACCAACCAAGCCTGCCCCCAGGTCGTGAGCACACAGCCCCTCTCCCTCTCTGGGTCTAGAGTCCCCAGCTGCTCCATCTCTGTCTCCATCTCTGGCGCTGCTGCTTCTCTGGACAGGGTCCTGCACTCCACTGTTCTCCCTTGATGGTCCCAGGGACCTCTGCTCCTAGACTACAAAGTTAATCACTCCCCTCCTTTTACTACAAAATGTCTACCTTTACATTTCCAACCCTCACAATCAGTCCTGATAACAGTTATTCACTATTCTACCACAAGAGATCTATCCCTATCTCCTTTCATCAGCTCCACCCAGACAGATAGGATACTACTGAGTAGAGACTCTACCTTCCTCCGCACCCTCTGGAACTAGGTTCCCTCTTGAAAGCTTATAAGCCAGTCACTTCTTGCCTTTGTAGCCCTGCCCCCCCCCCCCCCATTTTGGGTAGCCAGTGTCCAAGTTGCCCATCCCTGTCTACTCTGTGTAAGGAGGGGGTGGGATTGATTCTCGCTGTGAAGATTTGTTCCTCTTTTGAGCTACTGCATCCATAGGTATAGGTCCAGTTCATCAAAATTGTATCAGATTACTCTTTTTTTACCTCTTCTTTCTTCTTCTAGTTGAGCTCTGATCATCCAGCCATTGAAGCCAGGTCAAGTGGGTATTAACTGCAAGTGTGGATGTTCTTATGCATATGCCCTCTCTTCTTATCAGCTGGACACTTCACTCTCCACTGTAGTCGTCTGTGGCTATGTCACTGACTCTGGGCCCAAGAGTCCCCAGGTCTTGCCACACTGCTGGCCAACCAGGTCTTCACCCGGGTTCACAGAAGTCTATTGAACGTTGTAGGGCTTAGCTCGCAGCTTCATGGCTGTTTTTCCCTCACTTCTCTTATTGGTGGCGAGCGTGGTCACCAATCAGAGCGTGTATTCCCATTGAGCCTTAGTCCTGGAAGAGGGTTTTCCCTCTTTTGCCTTGATGTCTTCTGGGCAAGCAACTTGCTTATTGTAGTAGTAATCAGTCAGACTGCCATTATTATTTTGTATTTTTCCTGTCCGTCTTTCAAGAAGCATCTTCTGTTCTTCTAGCTGCCAGGCTGGTCTCCCATAAACTTTTTGAAACCCACATCTGTCGTGTATTATTTAAGAACCAGGTAGAACCCTGGCTGATTTGTAAGTGATTTGCCACATAATCTACTGTCACTCATGTATTTGAGAGAATCATTTCACATGTACACTCAGTGTTGTCATCAGCCATGGATGTGGATGAACATTTTAATATAATCTGAATGCAGATAATTTTTGACGTGTCCTTATATATACTCCCAAAATTTCCAGTTTTAACAAATTTGTAAGTTATTTTTCCAGAATGAAAACAGTCCTCTGGACATTCAAATTTTATATTTATAAGGTTTTAAGCAAACTTTGTTTCTTTATTCCAAGTGTAACTGATTTTTTAGTAAAATTCTCAATTGTAATAGATTTTTAAGTTACTCAAGAATAAAACTGACTCCTCTGAACATTCAAATTTTATATTTATAGGGTTTTAGCAACCTTTCTTTTCTTTAATCTTAGGTTCTAAAAGTTCACTATTTTAACATTGTGATAATGAGAAATCCACAGTATATACATTTTATAGGCGAGAAATCAGACCCCATCTCTGAATGCATAAATATTATTTGTTGTTGTTAAGTGGCATCAAGTTGGTTCTGACTCATAGCGACCCTGTACAGGGCTTCGGAGGAGTGACTAGTGGGTTTGAACTGCCAACCTTGGAGATTAACAATCTAGTATCTATTCTGAGGTGCCACACCAGGACTCTGTAAATATTATGTTGTTGTTAAGTTCCGTCTATTCAGTTCTGGCCCATAGTGACCCTGTATAGAGTTTCCAAGGAGTAGCTGGTGGGCTTGAACCACCAACCTTGTGGTTCAAACCAACCTTGCAGTCTAGCACATTATCCTGCAGTGCCACACCAGGACTCCATAAATATTATAGAGACTCTTTACTTTATTAAACAGGAGTAAACACAAAATAAAGGCAATCATAGATCACACAGGTGAAGGAAATCATACACACTATGTATGATTTCGGATGAGTTTCCGAAGTTCTACCTCCACATGGTGACCTTTTATAGAGCACAGGGAACAAAGGAATCTCCTCCCACAACTAAGACAGCAGCAGCAGCCATGTGTCACATAGTCATGCTGGTCCTAAGTGGGGGGGGGGGGGGGTGTAGGAGGAATTGCAGATAGGAAAGCTCTTCAGCTATGACATCACAACTAGGTGACCATTAAGGGAATGTCTGGGAATGTTGCTGTGAGGGCTGGCTGGGGAAGTGGCTCCAAACCCATTTTAAAAGTGTATACTGCTTCTAACTTTGGCAGATCAGCTGTCAGAGGTACATAAGGTACTCAAGAAAAATTGGCATCTGAACACAAACCTAGACTCAAGATGAAATTAAACTCTGCCTGGCTGGAGTTTCACAGATCAAAAAGCCTTCAGCTTTTATGCTCTTCAACAACATTGGGTATCATTTATTGAAATTGGTGGTGGAATATTCTGGCAAGAAGGATTTATTAATAGTCTCCCTACCTCAAATGAGTAAAGATGGCAGATTAATATTTTGGGAAATCAGGAGAGCATTGAGTTTATTCATGTTTGCTTTACATTAGTGTTTCTAATTTTGTAGGTACAGAACTGGAACAGTGAAATTCTTGCTAAACAAAAACCTCTTATTGCCAAACCTTCTGCAAAGCTACTTTTTGTAAATAGACTAAAGGGCAAAAAATATAAGACTAATTCTTCCACAAAAGTTCTTCAAGATGCCAGTAATTCCATTGACCACCGAATTCCAAATTCTCAGAAGGTATATTTTAAATTAATTTTGTACACTGTGTTTTGTTTTTAGTACCTACATTTTAGTTTTATTGTATTGAATTGTTTGTTTTATAATTTAAATTAGACTTTAATATGAAAGACTTTTGTTATGAAAAGAAATATTCCATATTGTCCTGTTTTTTCTGTCTTCTTCAAAGCTGAAGTTATCCACTATTTGAATAGCAGTTTTCTCTGTGTTTTATTATTTGTAGATAATTTATTATTATGTGTATTATTGTTTGTAATAATTGATTATTATGTGTATTATTGTTTGTAGAAACACTACTGTTTATTTCATTGCATTTTTATCATATTAAGAATTTCTCTTCCTTGTTTGTTCAGTGTTTTTATTATAAAAAGGTATTCTTTTTGTTGTTAAGATGATCATATGTTTGTTTTTTTCTGTTAATGTGGTTTGTTACACTGATTGAGTTTTCTAATGTTGAACCACCTGTGGATTCCTGGGGAAAATCTTACTTGATTGTGGTATATAATATTTTTAATACTCTGTTAGATATTAAGTGCCAGAATTATGTTGAAGTTTTTTTTTTATAAAATCTATATAAAGGAAAGCTATAACAACAAACAGCATGTAATCTTTGGTTTTAATAATGCTAGCCTTATATGTGTTGAAGTGCCCTAGTACTCTATGGAGTCCTGGTGTGTCACTGTAGCACTGGACTAGTAGCTGAAAGGTAGGTTGGTGGCTCAAACCCACCAACAGCTCTTTGGAAACTCTCTTCAGGGTTGCTATGTGTCGGAATCGACCCCACAGCACTTAACAGCAACATTATGATTATAGAACTGTCTGATATTCCTCTTCATTCTGTCAGTGTTTGTGTCATATATTTTGAGGCTCTACTGTTAGGTCATATATACTTAGAATTGCTATATCTTCTTGATGAATTTACCTTTTTATCACTATGTAATGTGGTTTGTCTCTTACAGGATTTTGACATAAAGTCTGTTTTGTGTGATGTTAATTTAGCCACTCCATCTCTTGTTTATTTACTGTTTGTATGTAATATTTCTCTCCATTCTTTTGTGTTTTTGCACCCGAGATGTGTCTCTTGTAGGCAACATATAATATATGGATCATGTTTTTTTTTCATCTATTCTTCCTGCTTTTGGTTAGAAAGTTGAATCCATTTATTTTGAAAGTAATTATTGCTATGGAAGGACTTATCTTTGTCATTTTTTGTGTTTTGTGTGTCATATTCCTTCTTTGTCCCTCATTTTCTCCAATACTGCCTTCATGTGTGTTTAGCTGAGCTGTTGTAGTGAACCATTTTGATTCCTTCTTTCCTTTTGTGTGTATTTCTTCGATATTTTCTTTATGGTTACTATGAGAATTGCATATAACATCTTAAATTTATAACAACTTAAGTTCGATGAGATACAAAAACTCTGTTAGTGTCCTGTTTAAGTAGTTAATCTGTTCCATCTTTATACATTGTAGGAGTAGAAAGCCTCATCTTTCTCCCACAGAAGTACTGGTATTTCCACTGCTGGCTGTGAACTTACACCGTTACTCTACCAGAGCTCCTATATGCTCAGTAACCAAAATATATAATTATGTTTTGTGTAGTTTTTGAAATCATGTAGAGCATAAGTACTAAAGTTACAAACCAAAAATACCATAAAACTAGCTCTTATGTTTGACCATGAAATTAATGTTTACTGGAAATCTTTTCTACATGTCTTTTGAGTTATTGTCTAGTATCCTTCCAGTTCTATATGAGGAACTCTGTTTACCTTTTTTTATATATATAGTACAGTTCTGGTCCACAAGCTCCTTCAGCATTTATCTGGGAACATCTTACTTTCACCCGCATTCTTAAAAGACGATTTTTGCAGGATATAGGATTCATGGTTAAATATTCTTTTCTTTCTTTTTTTTCAGTACTTAAAATATGTCATTCCACGGCTTCCTGGCCTTCAGGGTTTCTAAGGAGAAATTATCATTTAATCACACTGAGGTTCTCTTGTATGTGACATTTCCATTCTCTCTTGCAGCTTTCAGGATTCTCTTTATCTGTGGATTTCGAGAGTTTGAATATAATGTGTCTTGGTGTGAATTTTTTTTATTTTACTTCTTAGAGTTTATGAACTTCATGTTTTTGTACGTTTATAGCCTTCATCAAATTTGGAAAGTTTTCTTTCTGTTCCTCTCTCTCCCTTTTTGACATTCCTATGATGTGTATGTTGATGCAATTCCATTAGACTTTTCTCAGCTTTCTGAATCCCATATATTTTTGTGTGTGTATATATACACCTCTGTTTGCAAATAACTGGTATGTATTAAACATTGCATTCATCATTTTAGTTCTGAATCTTTCCACCCAAAATATTCATTTATTTGAAGTCTGTGTTTTTCTAGATCTTCAAATCTTTATAAAGAGGTCTTTTGGAATCACTATGCTAGGAAAATACACTTGCTTCCTTAGTTTACCAGTTTTTACAAAGCTCAGTTTATGTTAACTTTATTGTTACAGAATGTTAGCACTCAACTTTCAACCTGAGACACATGCCTGTATCACTCATCTTTGTGTAATTCATGAGTCATTTTGAGGTTAAGTTTCTTTAATCTTAAAAATACATTGGTATTTTTAAGTGCCATCGAGTGAGTGATCAGTTCCAAATCGTAGAGCATTTCTTAGGAACAGCTGGTGAGTTTGAAACACTGACCTTGTGGTTAGCAGTCCAGTGCTTATCTTCCATTGCTATATCAGGACTCCATGACAAAGAAAATTTAAGACTCCAAAAGTTTTCTTTTCCATATTGGAGGACTAAATGAATACTTAAATTTTTCTAAATACAGTATTCTATGAAAATTGACATTCTTTTCACAGAAATAACTAGACTTGAGCAGTAAAATTATCCCCATTATCTTAAATGTCCCAAAAAAGTTTAACAGATTTCATGTTTCATATGGACAGATTAAATAGTTATCAAAAATTTTTTCAACTTAATTTTAAAAATAGGTACTATAAGCACATTTTAAATAACTCAACTATGCCGAGTAAACAACCCTCCTCCTACTTCTGTCCTCTGATTCTCTAGTGATCCCTCCCCAGGTACACCCACTGTTTACAGCTTCTTATGCATTCCTCAGAAGGAGGGAAGCAAAGAAATATGTGTACATGTAGCATGCTCTGCCATATATTTTGGAAATTGATTCACATCATTGCTTAATTGTGTTTAATGGCTATATAATACGTTTTTATTGTGTTAAAAATGAGTACTGGTGTACCAGTATAGAAGAAGTTTTGGACTGCCAACTGCAAGGTTGGTCGTTCAAATCCACCAGCCATTAAACAAATGCTTTTTCTTAGGTGGGTTGAATTGATACCTATTCTTTTTACTACAATGTTGCCATCTTGTAATACTCTTTTTCGAAGTAGAATGCCATCTTTTTACTTTTCGTCTTTATCCTTTACTTCTTTGCATTTGAGTGCATTGTGATGTTGTTCCATTGATTATCTACAGATAAAGCTGGAATATTTAAGTGTAATAGATTTTCTTTCCATGTTTTAGAAAATCAGTGCAGATTCTGTTGGAGATGAAGGGTTCTTTGACTTATTAAGCCGATTTCAAAGCAATAGGATGGATGATCAAAGGTGTTGCTTACAAGAAAAGAGCTGCCGAACAACTTCAACAGCTTGTACTCCACACAAAATGATTCTAAAAAGTAAGTTATCTGTGCCTCTCTCTCAATTTTAATAGTCCTCCTTGATGATTTTGTGATTTTTCTCTGAAAAATTGAGTTTTCATCATAAGAGATAAAATAAATGAACCTGAATTCAACTGTCTCTGAATTTTAAAGTGATTGTTACATGTTCTTAATAATTGTGTCTAAAATGTGATTATTTAATATCTGAATGGAAAAAAAAACAAGACTGCAAACATAACTAAAGAATTACTACTAAGGCCATCCCTAAGTGGTGCAAACAGTTTGTGCCCAACACTAACCTAAAGATTGGCGGTTTGAAGCCACGCAGCAACAATGTGGAAAGAAAGTCTAACAACCTGTTTCTTTTAAGACTGTTTTCTTAATAGCCAAAAATCATAACTAGTCCACAAAGATTATGTTCTACAGGCTACTTTTGTCAGTAGTGACTAGAATCTAAAAAGCTCATGAATGGCATTCTAAGGTACAAACTATTGGTCTCTCTGTATGTGGCAGAAGTAAGAGTGATAAAAATAGAAGACACTTGAAATCAATGAATCCAATGGACTAATGGAATATGTGAACATCAGTGTTCATGACCCTAAGACCAGAAGAATTAGATGGTATCTGGCTGCCACAGCCTAATGTTCTGAAAGGGATCACATTAGAATGTCCTAGATAAAGTAGAAGAAAATGTAGGACAAAACTCAAAATTATAAAATGACAGCTTACTGAAGTCACCCTCATGGCTCAATTTAGCCAAGTGGTAGATAGGTATATGAGGGGCACAATAGTACTAGTAAGGTATGCTTACCATTCAAGATCAAAAGTGTGGTATTTGCTTAGGGGAAAAAGTTGAGAAGGGTTGGGAAGGAGGGTGGAATGGAAACAAGAATCACAGGGAGGATGTGGAATAACTGATGTTACATGAAGGAGATTACAATCACTGAAATGAAACAAAATTTGTGATTTGTTGGATGTAAAACTGATTATCTTCCTTCAATTCACAGTAAAAAGTTAGGGGAGGGGGAAAGACCATGGCCCAATAGTCATCATGAGTCGTTATCAACCAGAAACTAATAATACATGAGCCTTAGAATCAGCACAGGCCTTAAGTGAGCCTTAGAAAGATCTAAAACAGGTCACTTAGAATTTGCTTTTTCGGCTACCAAAGACCAACACTTGTCAATATCACTTAACTCTTAAGTTTAACTCTCAAAAGAACTCTTACCCAGGACATGGAACTAAAAACATTGTCCCATTCACCCTTGTCTGAGAACCAATGTAATAAAAACAGTTCATTCACCTTCCCGAATCTAACCCTGTATCTTAACAATTTTCACTTTGCGTGGACACTAGATAATGAGACCTTTGTAGTCAAATCTGAGTAACTGTCAAGTGGATCATTTGAAGTACTCTGGAGTGAATTCATTCTTCTCTTCTCACCTCACCTCCCAAAAGTGAACACACCTGTCTAGTCAAGCCCTAGCCTATAAGTGACTATTGGTGACAGTTCAACAAGGGACAGAGCAGCTGTCGGGGTTGAACAAAGCAGAACATAATTATATGTATGTAACAAGTATGAAAATACTTTCATAATGATATTTTGAATTTTTTTTTCCTTTTCTGTTTTTTTATAGCACCCTCTGTTTCTGTGGTGTCTCCCAACACAGATGAATTTTTAGATCTTCTTGCCAGCTCTCAGAGCCGCCGCCTGGATGACCAGAGGGCCAGTTTCAGTAATTTGCCAGGACTTCATCTGACAAAAAACAATAATCAGTCCGTCCTGGGCCATCTGATGACTAATGACAGTAAAGAGCCTGGTGAAGACTTCTTTGACATCCTTGTAAAATGTCAGGTATGTCTGCATATATTTTTCATCCCATATATAACTCTGAATCCATTGGTGGTGATGTGCTGTGGAGTCGGTTCCGACTCATAGCAACCCTGTACAGGGGTTTCCGAGGTTGTAAATCTTTACGGGAGCAGAACACCTCATCTTTCTCCCGTGGAACAGCTGGTAGTTTCGAACTGCTGACCAATTCGTAACCACTACGCTACCTGAATCCATTGAGCGTTATTATAATTCTTTATTATTGAGGATATAAAGGGCTCACTGTGTATTAGGGAGGCATTTGGATGTTAGAGGTCACTTTTTAGAGCTTCTCTTTAGTTTGAATTCTTTTTGTCTGGTGAGGTGACTTCATCTGAGCTGTGGAAGAGAGGAAACTCTGAAGAACGTGGGATGGAGCCTAGAGGAGAACCGTGCTTTCCTAAGTTTTTGGAGGCCGCAGCAAAAGTGACCAGTAGTTAAAATGGAGAGAGGCTAGCAGTCCACCTTACCATTGTGGAGTAATTTAAATACTGAGATAGCTTTCTTAACTATTTTAATAGTCACTGGCTAAATTGACTGGTGTCCTGGTAAGATACTCTGTAAGATAAGCATTGGACTGCTCACCTCAAAGTCAGCACTTTAGACTTACCAGCTGCTCTAAGGAGCCCTAGAAAGGGTTGCTAGGAGTCAGAACTGACTTGACAACACTTATAACAAACAGCATAGTGGCTCAGGACTGTCTTAGAAGCTTGGACACAGAACCATGAGAAACAATGCTTATTTCATTTAAAAGTGGTATTTCCTTGTCCTTACACTAGTTCTGTCTGTTTGCTCATTCATGAAAAGATGATAGGTATTGCCTGTTGTTGTTGTTCAATGCCGTTGAGTCGGTTCCGACCCATAGCGACCCTGTATAGGGTTTCTGAGAAACAGCTGGTGAGCTTGAACCGCCGACCTTGCAGTTCAAATGGCTTTGCAGTCTAGCACATTAGCCCTAGTGCCACACCAGGAGTCCATACATAGGTGACAGCAAATCTCCTCTTGTATAAAAGAGCTTAGCAGACTCCCTCCAACTTGGCTAAATTCCTCTATTAGCCCTAAAAGTTTTCTTGTATACTAGGATTTTTTATTTATAGGATCATATCATTTGTGATTAGAGATAATTTTACTTCTCTTCCCATCTGGTTACAGTTTATTTGCTTTTCTTATCTTATTGCTCTAGCTAGGACTTCTAATATAATGTTGAAGTGAGAATGGGCACCCACCCTTGTTGTGTTCTTAGTTTCAAGTAGAAAGCTCTCAGTCATTCCCCATTAAGTATAATGTTGGTTATTGGCTTTTCATATATATTCATCAAGAAAATGTGTTGGATTTTATCATGGGTTTTTTCCCCCACATCCATAGGGATTATCATGTGGTTCTTTTCCTTTGTTCTGTTGATATGATGTATTACATTGTCTTTCTAATGTGGAACCATCTCTGTATTTCTGGAATAAATCTCACTTGGTCATGATGCATAACTCTTTTATATGCTGTTGGGTTTTATTATTTTATTCACTAGTATTTTATTGAGAATCGTTACATGTATATTCCTAAGAGATACTGGCCTGTAATTTTCTTTTCTCGGGGTCTCTGTCTGGTTTGGGCAACAGGGTTATGTTTGCTTCATAAAATGAGATAGAGACCATGCCTTCTTACACTGTCTTTAGGGACAGTCTAAATGTTTGGTAGAATTCCCCAGTGAAGCCATTAGGTCCAGTACTGTTTTTGGTTAGGATGTTTTGGGATCACAGATTTAATCTCTTCACTTCTTATGTGTCTGTTGAAACCTATTTCCTCTTAAGTCAGTTTGGATAGGTTGTGTGTTTCTAAGAATTTGTCCATTCCACCTAGGTTGTTGTCATACAGTTGGTCATAATATTCTGTCATAATTCTCGCTTTTTCTGTCATTAGTTTTAATAGCTCCTCTTTCATTTTTAATTTTTTAAATTTTTTGAGTCTAGAAGACAGAATTCAGGGAGCTAACTCTAGAGGAAAGCTTTCTCTCTCTGTTGGCTCTCGGGGAAGGTATTTGTCTCCTTTCATCATTTGGCTAAATGTCCCTTGGCGATCTCCATATGTCTTGGCATCAGTCTTCCCCCTGAGTCTAGGAGGTCACCAGCACAGGGTCCTTGGATCTAAAGGATACACTCTGCTCCTGGCACTTTTTGACTCTTCGTTCTTGCATTTTCTCTCTTCTTGTCTTTGTCAGTCTAGGGAAGAGTTTGTCAATTTTGTTGATCTTATCAAGGAACCATCTTCTGGTTTTACTGATTCTGTTGTTTCCATTTTCAATTTTGTTTCTTCTTTGATATTTCCCTTCATCTGGTAGGTTTAGACTTAGTTTGCTCTTCTCTTTCTAGTTCATAGAGTTATCAAATTAGGCTGTTAATTTGAGATCTTTCTTCTTTTTTAATGTAGGCATTTATTGCTAATTAATTTTCCTTCTGAATACTGCCTTTGCTACATCCCACAGATTTTGATATATTGTGCTTTCATTTTCATGTGACTCTAAGAAATGTGTGATTTCTTCTTTGATCCATTGGTAGTTTAATAGTGTGTTTAATTTCCATGTTTGTGTATTTTTCAGGGGTTTTTTTGTTACTGATTTGTAGCTTTAATCTGTGTAGTCAGATAAAACACTTTGTGTTTTATTAAACTGTGTAGTCAGATAAAACACTTTGTGTTTTATTAA